AGATATTTTGTTAAATCAACTTCCAAGGTCATCAGAAGCCTTGACTACATCCAACTTCGAATATGTACACGAGATATCGCGCATGTTCCCCGATCTCTCTTTGGACAAAAAATTCTACTTAAGTTGTAACGAAATCTAAAGTAACCATCCTATGAAATATTTTCCGGATTCAACGGATACAAATCCCAGATTTAGCTCAGCCTTTTGTAATCGTAGCGCAATCGATCTATGACAACGCATCCTCATTTTTCTACTCATTTGTAGTTGGGAATCAAGCGCACACAATGCGGTGGCTAGACCGTAGCCCGCTCCACGCTGAGTGCATGGAACCATTCTTCCAGCCTAGCACGGCCACGAAGACCGTGCACCTCGTCCCCTCCAGCAACGACCAACTGTCTCCTGCAGCCAGTATGGACAAGGTAGTGGGTAGTAGACAGGTAGGCACGTTGTGAACAAACACATCAAGCGCAGCCACAACGGGGATATCAACCAACGGCCAATCACTTGGAACAACGATACCATATCAAATAAAGCGAATAAAGCATACGGATATGCCGACATATCACTTCAATAAATGAGCATATGAAATTAATTTGTTGCTAAAATTTTGCTATAGTTTCAAGAAGTCAGAAAATATATTTTATGTAAATGTCACAAACGCGAAAAAGCAAAGGTAGTTCATGTAGACATTAATGAGACGATAATCAAACCTACCACCTGAAATAAAGAGGCTTAACATTCAAGCAAGCGGTTAAGAAATCGAATGCAGCGCACCTATAAACGCTGCACCGGTTCTGCGTACGTTCTCTGCAGGACCCGTCGTCGTTTCGGAGTTGGCACCGAGTGGCCTCGCTCATGGCTCACTAGGCCTGTCTGACTTAGGCACTCGCGGCCGCATGTGCTACAGCACCAAGCGCTCGATGTCTATGGAGTACAACCCATCGGCGCCGGTCGCTTCCGCAATTGCCGCTTCTGTTTCTTATATGTTTTACAGCCGATTCCGGTTAATCGGACCACATCGGGACCAGACCATTTTGATCCTATTAAGCGGCTGGTCCGATTAACCGAAGTTACCCGAGGTAACAAGATGGGACGTGCTATATATAACATGGGAAACTACTATTATGACCTGTATTGGCGGCATATATTTATAGCAAACACACATTAAAGAACTGCTTTGATAACGAGCTTTGTTCACTGAAAAAGAAATTTACAAACAAATTCTTCGTAACGACCTACAAGATATTCAGCATGCAAAGTACAGTTTTATACAAAGGGATTACCGAATTTCATTCAGCGTTTGAAGACCGTATCCAGTGTGGTTTGACGCATTCTTTTAACAGACTGCATTCGCACAAAATCACCACAAACATGTAACGCAGTAATAGGACTACCTTCATTTCCTTCCTGCATGAAATAGCGGTGCAATGTTTCAATGCATTTCCTTGCATCCTGTTTTGTGACTGGCATCAACACGTTAGGGTTCTCTTCATCACTTCCATGGTCTTCTGTTGCTGTCGTGTGTTTCGCTGCTATTCGAGCAACAATGGCAGCATCGCATTCTTCATTTCCATCATAGAGTTGAAGTTCGTTGTCGATTGACAAAAATTCTTCGTAATTTTCAACTTGTTTCAGCTCCACATTCTCGCCGTCATTTTCATTTACAATCACCATATCCACATCCATCTCCGAGACAATATGCTTAAAGCCACAGTCAGAAAAAGAGTTCCGAATTGTCGCACTGCTCATTTTTCGTCAACTTTCGGCCACGAATGTAACGGCTTGCGAAATGTTGACCTTTGCACTGATTTCTCCTACCGTCGAGGATGAGGTCAGCTAGCCTTCCTCAATTGATTCAAGGATGTAATTCACCAACCTTGAACGATAAAAGGTCTTCAAATTGTTTATGATGCACATGTTCATTGCCTGTATCAAAGATGTGGTCTTGGGAGGCAGAAATGCCATCTGATACTCTTCAAGAAATCCAAATTTGAATGTGCTGCACAATTGTCGAGAAGTAATAACACTTTTCTCGACTGGCGTTGTAGCTCTGTGTCGCAATCCTTCACCCATTCTTTAAAAAGTGTAGAGCTCATCCATGCATTTCTGTTCGCACGATACACAACTGGTAAACTGTCCATTCTGAGTCCCTTAAAGCAGCGAGGCTTGGCACATTTACCTATAACCAGCAACTTCCTCTTGTCTGTTCCGGACATGTTTGAGCAGCCCAAGACAGTTACGCGATCCATTGATTTTTTGCATTGATGTTTGTAACTTAAGGAGCCGTCCGGTGTAGCCCTATAGTACAACCCGGTTTCATCAGCATTATAGATGTCATCTGCTGGAAATTTTTCAAGAAGCTCTGGTAGTTGTGTTGATTTCCATTCTTCAGCTCGAGCGCTATTGGCACTTTCTTTCTCACCATGTGCTTTCTTAAATTTTACATCATGTCTAGATTTCCGTCGAGACAACCGGCCGTCCGTAGCTATAAAATCTTCGTGGCTCAGCATTTTAGCGAGTTCTTCTGCTTTGCACTTTAACATTGGGCCACTTACTCGCACGGCTCGTCCAGTAACAAAGGCAAACCAATCATTAAGGGCCTCATCGACGTCTGGATCCTTGCCTTCACGCTTCCGTTTTTGGGAAGTACCTCGTTGTCCTTCACATTGTGCCCATTCTTCTCGCATATCTTTCTCTAGTTTTATCAGGCGCGATATTGTAGATTTTGCCAAGCAGGTAATTTCCACCAATCGACGCTGACTAGTGATTGGTCCCTGTTCCTTGATCTGATCTAGGAAACGAATCTTCTCAGCTAACGTCAAGTCCCGTCGTGGCATTTTCTTAACATGCAACACGACACGCACAGTTCACTGAGGTGAACTCGAGTCTGCCTCCCGGGTATTTCTATGGTTGACCTAACCACCTGCTGTCCTATGATTTGCCGGACCTGTGTGTTCTCGATCGCTTGCCGTGCTCGAGAGTAGGCCCACAATGTGGGCTCAGGGCATTCGGCTGAATGGACATGCGGTACATCGATCAAACGGTTAACGACATGTGAACAAGCATGTATGTCTTCGCTCCGCCTACAAGTGTTGGAAACTACAGTCAGTTTCGGGCGGTTCTGAAGCCAATTAGATAGATGTGCCTCAAGGTTGCCACAGTTCAGTTTATCCAAAGGCCAGCTCGGATTACCGTAACTGAATGATCCGCTTTCTTGCCCGACATATGAACTGTGGGTTTAGTCCAGACATCCAGGCACAGAACTTGATTTTAATACCTCTGTTACCTGCCACCTTCTATCGTCTGGTCCGATTAAGCGGAATTCCGGTCCTAATAAGCGGCTAAAATTAGGCTAGCGTAATGGGATTCGTTTCGGTTCTTCAGAATTTGGCCCGAATAAGCGGCTGGTCCTATTAACCGGTGGTCCTATTAACCGGAATCGACTATATATATATATATATATATATATATATATATATATATATATATATATATATATATATATATATAACATATAAGAAACAAGCAGCGGGAGCCTTATATGACGTAATTTTATAGCTGCGTGTATACCCTCAATAAAAGTATTGGAGTTTAAATTTTGGGTGGCTCCATTTAGTCGGAGCAAGTTCGGTGTATCCAGAAACCTTGAGTTAGTTCAGGCTTATGACAATAACTTCAGTCATACACATCATCCCTGAATCTTCATTGGCAGCATCGATGCTAAATATATTTGCGTATCGGACGCGAAGGTATACAGTGAGGAAACGACACGGAGCGTATAAGTCGTCCGCTTTAGCATATTAATCGCGTAGTTCAAATTGCTGGAAAAATATAACCGTTTCTAGATGAGAGGTGGAAGTGCAGATGAAATCTTTCGAGGACCTGCTTCCCGCATGGAAACAGGTCTACAGGAAACGGTTCCTTGGATGGCCGTATTAATTTCCTCGAACTGCCAACTATACCTACACTTAATCTTAGTCTCAAGTTCCCCGGTAGTTTTAAACGAGATGACACTCCTAACACACCGTTAGGGTCATGGAAAAACTCGAGCAAGTTTCTCCCTTACCAGATTATGTACAAGATGATCAGATCAGGTACTCAGACCGTGTCTCGCAATGTTGGGAAATTTAGCATTTAGTTATTTAGATAGCGCAAAATTGGAAAGACTGACTTTGTGCCATTGTAGACCACGGGATCTCATCAACCATCACTAGTCGTGGGCACCTAGAGAACACGATTAAGGCGACGAAATCACCAAATTTCAGTTATACAGTGGTTGGAAAGTACAACCATGGTATGTTCAGATTAGAATAGGTTGGCAAAGACAAGCTAATGGAACAGTGGGTGATGCAATCAATGGAACTTAAGTTCCGTCAGCTGATCAATTGACGACGAGAAAGAGGAGGATGGTGATGATGGCATCAGCAGCACACCGAATCGGTACCACTGTCATGCGTTCACCAACAGTCGCGCGCGCTGATTATGAATAATGCGATGAATAATGCGATGGATTCAAAACGGCGACTTCTGAGTTACAAGACCACCGACAAAGCGATCAATCAATTTTCATTTACATACAATTACTCGTATTTGTGTGGCAATGTCTCCAAAACATAGTGTGGTCTAGTCTGTAAGTTAGAACCAAGAAATGGACTCGTACCGAAAGGACTCAGCTCAGTGGCCCTTCAAATGCCGCACCAGAGAAGTAATCGTCAAACACCAGATGAAAAAGCTAAGTATTACGGATTCGCTGAGTGTACCAAATATGAACGAAAATCAATAAACATCGATGAGGAAACATGCTGAATACTCAGCGAACAGTGGTCAGTTATCCAAGCAATAAAAGTAGTGCAATAAATCAAATACAGTATGCTAACTGCAAATAATAGTTTGCTAGGTGGCACAAACAGAAACGGAGGACAAACAACAAGGAGTCTTGTCACAGGAAGTGAACAATAGTTGAAGAAATAGTGAGAAGTGAAGCACAAGAGAAAGCTTACCGCTGGTGGCACACAAGCAGGCACTAGGGCCAGACGATCCATGGCCCGAGCAATATGATCTACATTTCGAACAGACTCGTCCGCCTGTCGAGCAGCGATCCAATCAGCCACCTGTTCGGCACTCACAAGGTTGCTATGACTTGGCTGAAGAGAAAAGCAGACATGATTTGTGCACTTTAATAAGCGCGGCCACTACTGAACGACGAAATTTTCAAGTATAAAAATTCGATGCAGTAAAGGTTAAAACGTTGAGGGGTAATGGCTGATGATGACGCGCGAAAGTGAAGTCACAAGGAAGCTGTCTCGCTAATGCCGCCTTATGCTTGCATGATAGCCAAACTGTGCGACGGTATGTTGTTGATATAAGGTGTAGTAACCTTCACCCTGAATGTTTGTTTAGAGCATTAGGGTTTTCCGGTAACTCACCCTTCTCCCCCACTTATTATTCCTCGTTCGGCAGGTCACGGTGATGGTACGGCAGCGATGCATCAGTTCAAATGGCTGATGCAATGATGAGAGCAACAAACATCTTAAAATGAGATATCCATAGGCAAATACATAAACTGCAGCAATCAAAAGATGGAACGGGTGTCAAATCTGAGGACATACTCATTTTAAAACTGAAGACAATAAGTGCGATGGTAACGTATTTGGGGAGAGCTGAACCCAATAAATGATGTAACTACCACATGAGCGAAGCAGTGGACGCTCTCTGAAGTAAAGTCAGGAACGGTTCACTCTATTGGTACAATTCTGTGATTTCATCGGAAAACAAAAAGATGTAGTTTTCGGCATCCTAGGTACCGGAGGGCTTTTTTGCTTCACTGATTACAGGGTTTAAAAATCAATCATCAGCTACCTCAAGAATACGTATTTTCGCATAGTATATTCTATTGCAAAAACAGTGAGTTCCGGGTTCCAATTTCAGATTGAAAAACCCTCACCCAGTACACAAACAGGGAGAATCTCGGTCGCAGCAACGGACGTCTTCCGGCAACTGCTGTTGCTTACTTATTGACACACCTTTTCGAGTCTAAACTGGAACACACATACACATTATCCAAGTTAGTTAGGGGTGGGAAACACCTCAGCTACTGTGCCGCAATAAAAAGGGGAATAGATTGCTACAGGTGTAAGCCAGCTGAGTTACCGGTAACGGATGAGCATCGTTCCGGTAAGCTACCAGCCGACTGCTGTGCACCCAAAAAAATTATTATGCAAACTTATAACTTATAACTAATAAGATCGTGGTTGGAGGGGGAGGCTAAGAGGGATCGGGTGGGACAAAGAAACTCACAGCATGAACGCCACTGAGGTCGGCTCTTAGCCATATCAGCAAGTGTGTCCAACCAAACGTGTTCATCGTCTTTCGGACCCCAACCAGGGAGCCGTGACGCTCCAACCGAGGCCAGCTCAGAAGTGAGGGCCTTCATTCCTCTCGACCAAGTCATCGCTTGGTTACCTCACCTCTTCTACCATCCACACCCCCGGTGCGCAAACAACACATGTTGCGGGAGTCGGTGGACTGGCATGCGCAACACGTGGCCCAGCCATCGGAGCCTGATGTGTGAAATAACGGTGCTGAGTGGTTCAGTTCCTTTTCCTGTGCCATAAACAAGGCGTCGAACACGCTCGTTGCTCACGCGGTGTTCCCACCAGACGTGAGCTAACTTGCAAAGGCACTGGTGATCGAACGCAACTAGCCTCTTCAGGTACGCTGCTCTAAGGGGCCACGTTTCACAACCGTACAGTAGGGTCGAACGTACCACTGCGTTGTACACTCTACCCCTCAGGGCGAGAGTGATGTCGCGCCGGCGCCATAAGTGGCGAAGATTAGCAAAAGCGCCTCGAGATTTTGCTATACGGTTCGTGATCTCATCTTCAATCCGACGAACTATGATACAACTTCCCAGGTAGTTGAATTTTCGAACGACTTCTAGCTGATCCCGACCAAGAGTCAGCGAAGTAGGCGGTCCAAGCCAAGCTTGGAGGAACGCTTCGCACTTCGATGGTACGAAGCAAAGCCCGAAGTGACGGACAGCCAGTGCTAATCTGTGCAGTGCCGCTTGGCACGCTTGTGAGCTGTCACAGATTAGGGCAATATCGTCTGCATACTCCACGTCAAGAAGTCGTTCTCCTTGGAGCAGATCCACACCTTCTAAGTGGTGTCCTGTGAACGCGATTTTTATAACTTCGTCAATAGCGAAGTTAAAGAGGAAAGGTGACAGCGGGCATCCTCGTCGCACACCGCTGGAGATATTCAAGGGCGGCGACAGCTTGCCGTAAGCCCTTACTCTGTCTGGATCACGCGCGTATAATGCTCGGATAAGATTTACATATTTCTCAGATACACCTTTCATGAGTAGACAGTCCCAAAGTGCACGTCCATCCACCGAATCGAATGCACCTTTGATATCCAAGAACACGACTATGGTGGGCCGCCAATATGTGTGACGGTGCTCCAACAACTGACGCAAAGTGAAGAAGTGGTCAATGAAGCCACGACCTCGACGAAACCCGGCTTGCTCCTCACCAATATGGCTTTCACAAGTGGCAGTCAGTCTGTGAAGGATGACAGAAGCAAGCAATTTGGAGACGATGGAGATCAGACTGATTCCTCTATAGCTGCCGCATTCCGATCTTGAGCCTCCCTTGAAAATTGGGACTATGACGGAACGACTCTAGTCGGTTGGGACAGTTTCCTACTCCCAGTGTTCCACTAGTAACTCGTATAAATCATCCACAAGAGCAGGTCCCCGAATTTGAAGGGGGCTAGAAGGAGAGCATCTTGTCCCGTGGCTTTGTTCGACTTCAACAGTCCGATCTCAAGTTCCACTTTTGAGCGAGAGGGCGGACCCAAAGGGAGAGACCACGAAGCAGGGCGATCACTTGGAGGAGGGGAATCGAATAATTCCGGCCGATTAAATTGTTTTTCAAAATGCTCAACCCAACGCTCCAAAGGTTTTGACAAATAGTGGATAGACTCCACTCTCGTCATAAATAGTTGCACTGCCCGTTTCCCGTATCAGATGGAATAACTTTCGATGGTTACCAATGGCAGCGGATACTTCCATCACTGACGCATGAAGAGACCACCAACATTCGTCGTCTCTCTTTAGGCTAGCACGGAGTTTTGCCAGGAGCGCTTTGCGAGTTTCATTGTGTTCGCTTCCAGTCGAAACATGCCGGCGAGCATCGATAAGTTCCAGACACCGCAAAGTGACCTAATGTCCATGTTGGTTAGTAGACTTACCACATGAGGATTTTCCTGCTGCTAAAAAGGACTGGTGAATATGAGACCAATGAGCTTCAATTGTATTCAGTGAGCACTTACTCACCTGGCATGTCAGCGTACTATGATAGGCATTCGGAACAGCTGGTTTCGTCAGTTGGCTGGTGTCAATGTGGTCACAACGTCGTCGTGGGCGTCCGCCAAAACGCATCCGCAGGTCTGCACATACAATTGCATGATCGGTGTCCACACTTGTGCTCCAAATCGAACGACAGTTCTGGACGCAGCCTCTCTATCGGTGATTTATCGCAATGTGATCGATTTGCGTCCATAGCTGGTTCAAGGCTGGTGAGCGTAAAGTCACCCTCCGGCGGGTGCTGTGTCGGAAATTAGTGCTCGCAAGAAATAAGCGAGCATCCTCACACAAATGAAGTAACCGCTCACCGTTATCATTAAGGGAGCCTATACCATGTTGGCCACCCAGATGCAGTTCATCAGTGGACAACTTTCCAACTTGAGCCTTCAGATCCCCCAGCCAACAGTGTCCGAGCTTCTTCTGAGGCGAAGGAGCTCGTTCAATTGGCGACAGAAGTCGTCTTTTACCGAATCATCGCTAGAGTTTGTGAGTGCATAGGCAGCGATAACGAATAGTAGTCCCGCGGAAAGTCGAGGCTTTGAACGACCCAGCCAATCGGACCGCACACATCCGGCTATTGATTTGAATCCAGTCAAGCAGTGCAGCTTCAGCCCGGGGACTCAGGGCAATGCCAACACCAGCTTGGCCGGTGCTGGAAGTTGCATCGTCACCGGATCGGGGCAATATGAAAGTGCTGCTGGTGTCACCTGAAGGGGATCGCAGAGTGAGCACAGAGCTCGAGTCTTGCAGGCGGGTCTCCGATAAGCAGCAGACATCGATCGAGAGGGTCTCCAATGTTCGGGAAAGTGATGCCTGTTGACCGATCTGAAGCAATGTGTGTACATCGAGGCATGCCAATCTGAAGGAGGATCGAGGGCTCCAAATGGAAGTCGATGAACTGGGCTTGGCCGCTTGGCTGGACATGGGATTGTCGACAGGACAGGAATGACACCCCGCGTTCACAAGTGAGTTGAAATTAGAAGATAAAAGCCTAGCAAAGCAAGGTGAGGGAGAGCCAAGAATTGGGGTTTGAAAACAGGGGGGATAAAAGTGAAGGTGGAACGGGACGGTAAGAGAAAAGGCGTAAGTGGGGGACTAAGAAGACGGGAAGGCTTGAGCAGCAGCATCCAAACCCCTATCCACCTTGTTCGATGAAGCAGATAAAGCACCGTTGATTATCATCTGCGACGACCAGAGAATCAAGAAATTGTTTGAAGAGAAATTCATTGTATTGCGTGGGCAGGATACTGTCAGGTTGCCCAAGCCTAGACAGGAGAACGAGTAGGGTTCTCAACCAAAGCCTTTGGTTCAAAAACCGTACCGCAAGGCGTTGGGCTAGGAGTCCGTTTTAAGGAATAAGGAGCCACCTCATTCTAACCTCCAACCTGGAGGACCAGGAGGGTGAGTTTGTCTGGCCTCTAACCATTGACCAACCTGGTAGGAATGGCTCAGAAGGTGTAAAAAAGCACCACCTAGCATAGCTCAATGGATCGCTGAGGTACACAAATCATCGCACCACGGTAAAGTCCAGCTTCATTGCAATGGGTCCAAGGTGGAAGAACATGTACGGATAAACAGTTGCATCTAAAAAACTGCGAACAGGCTTAATGCCACAGCGGACAGAAAGGAGGAGTAAGGCAAAGGATAGCAATCAGTAGCAGGTGGAAGTAGGTCAAAGATGTGGCAAGACAAACTATCGACTCAGGTTTTCTCCGTATGGTACAAATACTGGCAAGGCGTTTCTTTCGAGTGAGATGTATGTAAAAGCATTCGGACTCCGAACGATACCAGGGCGGCCGTTTCGAGGTCAACGCACTTTGAACCAAAAATGACGTTCGATCCATGTTATTATGTGCCGACAACAATTTTTATATTAGTAGCAATGCTCTCCAGCACAATAGTTCACATAATGTCACTTGGAACCCATCGATTCCCTTCATGACTTGGAGCCAGATTGAGTACATTGCCATGAGCTATAGATAATGCGCATCGTTCTAAAACTGCCGGGATTCCGACTATTCTTTAATGCGCACACCTGGAACTTAATCAACCCGCTTCAAATGAGTGTCTAACATCTATGCCCGTCACTCATTACTTAAACGCGTAGTCCGCAGTTCAACAGTATCATGACGAACTGGTCCACCAATTATCAGTGATTCATGGAGTGGATGAGCCTAACGCCGTATAGTACTGTATTAGGTGCACCAAGAAGAAAGCTTGTGACGCTTGCCATAAGCCCAATTTGAAACGTCCGAGCTGTGAATGGACTCCACAAGCATCCATCAGTTTGATGGGAGCAAGGATATGGAGTAAAATGCGCATTGAGCTTCAGAGTGTAAGTAATGCCTTTAAACAAGGAAAGTCATGGGGTTGACCGCGGGCGTGATGAGTGGCAAGAGCCAGCGGGATAGAGAAACGTCGTGGTTTTAAGAACAGTCAAATACTGTTTCATTTCAGCCGAAACAAGGGTGAAATAAATCCCTCAGTGAGACAGTAGAGGAGAAAGATGGACGGTTGATCCATTCCCAGCCAATTGCACACGCCCGTTGGACAGAACATTTTGAAGAGCAGCTCAGCAGACCTGTTGCAACACTGCCGGTCGCTGAATCGCCTTGAAAGACGTGGGAATTTAATGCCCCATCCTCTACTTCGGAAGAAATTCGACATGATCTCACCGAGTGTAAACGAAACAGTGCTCCTGGCCCCGAGAACGCTCCTTCATCCTTGTTGTAGGATGGCGGTGAATATTTGTAGACGCAACTTGCTGCTATATGAAATACGGTTTTGGATACTAAACAGGTGAGTTCAGAGAGTTGATTGTCAACAGTCGGACCCATCTTCAAAACAGGATCAGCGTACTTTCTAAGAAAATCATTCACGGATTGACCTTATTTTTATCGCCGCAAAATTTTTCGCGCAGACCACCCTTCAACTCTTTACTGGCTCTGGTGAAAGCCGAATCATTGAAGTTAGGACGTGTTCTGCCCGGGTCGTGATCGCATCGACCAGATGTTTACTCTTCGTCACATATTAGAACATCAACACATTTACAGAGGAGCAACTGTGGTGATTTTCCGTAAGTAAAAAGCCAAGGTTGACTCCGTTGATCACACCAGCTTGTGACACTGCTTAACCGGGAAAGTGAATAAAATCTCCTATGAATTCTGAAATCTGGATGCCACGACTCATAGTGTCTTGAGTTTTACACGGCATGTGGGGTTCGCCAGGATTATCTTGTACCTCCTATTTTTCCAAGGTTTCATCGCAATGAGTATGAAAGACTCCGTTTCCTTTTGGACTTTTCCTGTGTGGAGGTGCTGTCAAGTGACCAACTGACAAACTATGAGTATGTGGACGCCATAGCTATCATTGGATCCGACTCAGTGGTAATGAAAGCTCTAATGAACTAATTGATGCGTGCAACTGCACGCTTCAGTATGTGTATTGCACCAAAGTTTAAGGGCCAGGCCGAAGCGCCTCCGGATTTAGCCCCCAGTTAGCAGGCACTGGAAGTGCCTGACACAACAAAGGATTCCGTTTACACGTCGGGTTCTTACAAAGGGAATCCGTCAACCCGGGAGTAGTATTTTGCACTTGCCTTGGGTGAAATACCGGCCATACTTAGAGGCATCCAAAGCTAAGCGGTTGAAAGCGCTCGTCACCAAGCAGAGCGATATCATCGGCGTAGTCCAAGTCCATGACTCTGTCACCAGGTAAAAGCACAATGCCGCGATTCAGTGGAACTTGGTAAAATCGGGCACTGGGACCGCATCTGAATCGCGCGTCACAAACCTTATACACAATGTGTGCTCCAAAGGATCCACCCCCAATTAATATATATGTTCTAGTTTTATCGGATTGCTCGTAGTATTCCTTACCCGAGTGTGGGTCGCTATAACACGGAAACAATCGCACAGTGAAACCTGTTAGCTAACACGAAGACGAAAGTTAAACGCTTAACAGGATAGCTCAGATAGTAAGATGAAACCTTCAACTGGAGTGGTAAGGTGAAGTACGGTTCACATTGAGCATGTCGCAAAACTCGGTCCTTCAAGGACAAACGGTTTATTCGGCAAAGCAAGCGCAGTAAAAAATGACAAATTGAGAAGAATGTAGGAACCTCGATAGTAATAAGTAAATCACTTCCATAACTAACGAAGCTGCGGCACCAATAAGATTCTTCCTGTAAATCAGTTTAACAAACCCAGCGAATTTTCGGACGACAGTTACCAGATCAGCCGCCTCTTCGTTCTTTTCGTGATGGCCAACCATTGTCCTCTGCACGGGCAATAAGTTGCACAGCAGTGGAGGAAAGGTCGGGCTATATCGCAGTTAGGTTTCAATTCGTAATGTTCGGCTGTCGTCCTCCATGGCTCAGTGGCATAAGCTGCTGGCTAGTTGGCGTTAGCCTCTAGCAGTCACAGGTTCGGTCCCCAGTAGGGGACCGATGGATGCGCACCAATGACGATCCCCAATACGGCGAAACGCGCCTCTGGTGCTTTTTCGGAATGGTAAATTACCTATGCAGCTTGGAATCTAATTGCGATGAACCAACGTGGATCTTGGATTGGTTTTCTTTGACACCATGTTGCAAAACTCAGTCCTTCAGGGATAAACGGCTTATTCCGCAAAGCAAGCTCAACAAAAATGACAGCCGGAGAGGCAATGTAGGAAGCTGGATATTAATAAATCAGTCACTCCCATAACTAATGACGCTGCTACACTCATGAGATTCTTTCTTTGAATCAGCTAAACAAACCCGCTCCAGAGAAGTAAACAGCGAGTAGACGAAATATGCGCAGGCGACCAAGCAACCGCTCCGTTCGCTTGCGGCACCCTAGCCACTTGCTTGCACAATCCTATCACAGACCATATTCCCGCTGAAGCAAGTAGAATGTGGTATAATATGGGAATGTCGCAAGAGGCCTCCAGATTAGTGAGAAAGTGTTAAATAGATGGACAAAATATTTGTTTATTTATTAAACAGCAAACGTTTGGTATTTGCGATATGCTGGCCGGATATTCTCAGGTTTAGTATACCTATTGTGTATTGGTGATAGGAGATACAGGCAGGTCATTAGCCAGACTGTTATGTTCGTACGACGGGGTTCGGAGAGAGACAGGGCGACAAATAAGATGAATTTGGTCTGCGATAAGTCCGATTTTAATCAAGTTTCAAATGAAATATTTCTGATATCCCAAACCATTAAACGCGATGATTGCTGCCAAATAGGGATTGGAATAGCAGTACAATTTTGATGCACGCAACAAAAGTGATCGAAACTAGTGAAAAATTTACCCGATTGGATGCGTCAGTAAGATCAAGGAGAGGGTCATCGTCGTCATCCAGTTGATCAGAACGAGATGTTAAGGCAAGAGGCAGTCTAGGTGACTCTCGCGAATCCTTGGAAGTGAGAGCTAGTAGGGGTTTCTCGTGGGAATACATGATGGGGAGTGGGCCACCACCAGATCTGGACAAGTCCAAAGAATCTGATGAGACGGATTCTGATTGAGTAGAACGTGAACGATATCGTTCGAAACGCTCGTAGCTGATAGAGTAAAAGGGCAAAAAAGTGTTCACGGAGATAGCATTCGAAAGAAATCAATTCTTAGTGACAATGCAAGCAGAGTAAAAGAGGCAACTGCGCATGCGCCACCAGAAAAATGACGGAACAAAATTGTTCGTTAAAATTGTGAGAACAAATCACCCGGTAACCGGAGGAGATGGTAAGACGGAATTAGCGGTAAATCATCACTACGATGCTCCGGTGCTTCGCTGCCTGGCAGCGATGAGCAGTTAACTGATGACTGCGAACCTGCTGGTGGACCCAAATTCATGCAGGAGAAAGAAATCAAACCAGGCACGGTGAGATTGAAAGGCGAAAGCTCGAATCACTACGTAGTGGACATTTTACTAGATGGAAATATCGTGAATGACAACGCATTCACACTAACAGATGCATAATGGATTAAAGTTACACATAGTTAAAACACAGAACCCAGCCCAAAACGACTGATAGCCATTAGACGTGTGAACGACCTGTGACAGCCAAATTCCACCACAAAGTAGGCGGCCAGAATATACATTAGACGTGATTAAATAAATAAATTTGTATATTTACCGACAAACGGTACACGGCCCCACAAGTGGGAGTGATCATTTGTATAGTGAATAGGTTTCATGGTTTATGCGGCGTAAATCATAATCGTAAAGCAAAGAATATTAATAGAATTTGGGATCATTATTCTTTTTCTTCGGGTCCTAGACCTAATATGTAGAATTTACGGATGTTCGTATCATCATTTTCTAATTTGTGGGGCTCAGGAGTAAATAAGAAAATGGAGAGGATACTAGGCAGCACAGAGACAGGGTTTGGTGTTGTAGGTAATGACAAGTAGTGGGTAAGCTAGTTGTAAGCGAATATCTGGTCATATGTTTTTTATACCAGCTTCTGTCAATGTTTCTAGGGTTTACTGTGAGTCAAATATCTTTAATACATTTGGTATAGTGAGGAACGTCTGAAGGAAATTTCGAAATGTGACATCGCTTGTATTCATGCGTATCTGTAGGAGTAGTTTGTTCCACAGATCAGTGTATCTCACTAAGGATTTCGATCGAGTTTTATAACTTGAAAGGTTTGTGCATATCAAGTAGCCGCCTTTACGTGTGGGGTAGACTGCTGTCTTCCATAGTTCAAATGCGGTGCTGCCTGCGTAAATTCGTTGGTTTATAATGTTGTAGAAGAGAACGAGGTTGTTCTTTAAGCGTCTCAGCCAAAGAGGATTCAGTTGGAGTTTTCGACAGTGAACATAATAACTCAGGTTTGAGCAGCGCGCCATGACCAGCTTGGTAAATGATCGTTGGAGATTTTCTAGAGCCGTTCTGTCTTTCTCAATTGGCTGTGAACGATAGTACAGTATTCCAGAGTCGGTAGTATTATTGTATTGAATGACTCAAGTCGTGCTTCAGGTAGGGAGAAAATCCCGGTGATGTATCCGCATAACTGCCTTGCTTTTGCAATCTGATAAAGTACATGTTCGGAGAAATTGGAAGAGTTGGAGTACCCAATTCCTAAGTCCCGAACTGAAACAGACATTAGGATCAGGTTTCTGGCAAGTGTGATGGAGCCTTCTGGGATGCAGCATCTGTACCCAAATATTTGGAATTTCAGCGCGGAGTACTTCATTAATAAATGTTCACTGGCTATATTTAGTGCGGATAGGTCTTCACAGATGTTTCCCAAACATATATGTAGTTGGTCTGGATGAAATGAGTAGACCAGTTTGGCGTCATCTGCAAACAGAAATGGGTGCCCATGTTTGATCCGGTCACATATATTGTTCACGTAGATTAGGAAAAGTAGTGGTCCGAGCACACTTCCCTGGAAGACGCCGCTGATTATTTATTTCGGTGTAAAATATTGCTGACGGATTTTAACTACCGGAGTTCGACCGTTTAGTTATGAGTCGAACCAGTTAAGCAGAGGATTTCCAATTCCGCACGACTCTAGCGCAGACAGCAGTGGCTTATGCGGCACACGATCGAACGCCTTTTGCACGTCCAACAGAATCATACTAATTGCCATTCCTCTGTCAATCATAGTCGTGACGTGATCGAGAAATTGTAGCTGGCAGGTAACGCATGAGAAAAAGCCATGCTGTGAGGGGTCGATCAGATCCAGTCTTGTAAGATATTGAACAATGTTCTATGACTATTCGCTCTAAGGCTTTGGAAGCAGCAGAGGTGTGATTTATTGGGCAGTAGATTGACACTTTATTTCTCCGGCCACTCTTGTGCTTAGGCATTATAATGGATTGCTTCCATTGAGTTGGAAAGCAGCCGGTAGTGAGAGAGTGTGATGCTGTTTAATAACAATAGAGCGAGGTTTTTTCCTCCGAGTTTTATAACCGTTGGGGAGATGCTATCTGAGTCTGGACGAGCTGATGGTTTTATGCATGCGATAGCCCTTTGCAGCTCTCTTAACGTCACAGGAATATTGCAGTATAGTTCGGTCATTCATTTTAGAAGTGGAGAATGAAATGGCTGAGTGTTGGGGACAAAACAAGAGGTAAAACTAGAGTTGATAGCCTCGCATATACAGATGTCGCGCGTTACTGAACCATTATCTAAAACCAACGTTTCGATTTCCTGAAGGGGTTTAGGGTTCCTTCCTTTGCGTAGTTGCATCAATGTACGTACTTTCTCAGGATTTCTGAGTACCCGACTTTCTTTTTTGAATTTGGCCGTTTGGGTTAGACGTTGTAAATGTAGTAAATTCCTTGTATTTGTAGCAATGTTGCGAAGCTGTTGCTTTTGCGATATAGCGAATTGAGTTTCTTTAGTTTGGTTTGGGTTTTGTACAGAAGCTTGAGTTCACCACTACGTTCGTGGGTGTTTCTGCTTACAGTAGGTGCCAGTAGATCCACACCAAGGGCAATATTGTTAATTAACTCATTTGTAGCCCCAGTAAGGTTGTGAGTCAAGAATGACGTATTCCAATACATAGTACTGATAATTTCATTAAATGAGTTCCAGTCCACACGATAGAGGTTGCGAATGGGTTTTAGCATTTTACTTGGTCGTTTAGTTGAATCTATAGTCATATAACAAAGCACCATGTTGTGATCACAGCCAGGTAGTGGATTGTCAATGAATATATAAGCGTAAGCGATTCCCATCCTGAATACAAGGTCTAAGGTAGTGGCACTTCTGGTTGGCTCTAAGATGCTGGGTCCAGGCAATGAGGTAAATTCATGAGATGATTTCCTCAATCTCCGCAGTGTTTCTGAGTGTAGGCGGCATCCAGTTAACATGTGGTAGGTTGAAATCTCCACACATAATTTTGGATTTGTATGTGATGCTGGAAGCAGCATTGCTCATATCGATTAGCTTTTGAGTTTCACATTGAGTAGTTCGGGGCGGCGGATAGATACAACCCACTAGAAGATCAGTAGATGGGATCACTAGCCATAGTGTATTTTCTAAGTCATTGAACACAGGTTAATCTGCGGGAATTGCAGTCAGGTTATTTCGAAGATATATGGCACAGCCACCATCACGTTTGTGTGAGCGATCTTTGCGAAAAATGAACCGGTATGAGAGCAATGTATAAAGGGAACTAAAAAGACCCCAGAACCAATCAGGTCAAAGTGTAACCCGACCATACCGATAAGGAAATCAGCAACCAAAACCGGAGTAGCTAGGAACGCTGAAGATAGTCATAATGGGAAACTGAAGTGGCTCCTGAGTCGAGACTGTTCCGGCAACTTCGTGCGAACAGACGACGAAACAAAGCAGTGCTAGTGGAAAGAGCGTCGTCAATGATACCGCGTAATATGAGTAGTAATTGTGGACGATTTCTATGACAGACGTACCGCATGAACGCACTGTTCAAGTTATCGCTGACTTGCAGTAGAGTAGGAGTGGCTTCTTCATCGGACACTTGACCCAAGAACTCCATCACACGTAGATGCATAGCCTGACAAGTTTGATGCAGTTCCTGAGAAACGATGAAGGGATAATGAAAAAGCTTAAACTCTACATCAAAAATACTAAAGCGATCCATGCTACTAAAAAAGCCGAGAGAACGAAAGGCACCAAGTGTGTGTGCGTGCCAACAGGCCTCGACAGGTAGGTGGAAAGTCGAAAGGATGAACAAAATGATTACATGATAATGAACGAGAAAGCAGCATAACCATCTAGGTGCATAATAATGTCAAAGTGTTAAGAAGCTGGTGGCCACAAAGCTGGGGTGCCACAAATTAGTAACCTCTAGTAGATAGGGTTCACTCCAGAAATGTTAAATGCAGGTTGACAGTCAACGCACACGTAGAAGAGCATTGGATCGCTGTTGCATCCAGCCGGGAATCTTCAGTAGTGGGTGTTCCACTTACCTCACATAGGGACTCAGCTCTTACAAATGAATGATTAAGATGGCTGGGAATCGCTGTGATAGGTATGATTAAGGACCTGGCTGAGTTTAGCCTACCGCCAAGTGGAGAACAATGTGCCCCATAAACAATGGTCTTCCAGATAATAGTGAAAGGGACGCTCTAGCCTACTGGCCATAGGACGGGATGAAGCAATATGATGACGGCGAGAGGTTGTGTGTGGAACAGAGAGTGGAACCGCAGACTGACCACCTCACCACGACTGCGTGGAAACGGTAGATCAGCGCTTTGAATCGGTGATCCATTAACAGAGCCGAGTATGAGCGCTAGCCCAAGGAAATGAAGCCCAACAAAAGCAGTCATTCACAGCTCCGCGATTTCGCTGAAAAGTTAAATGCTTCGTCTAGCTAGCTAGTGCCAACTTGATGAAATGAATATCACGTGAGAATGGCGGTCCGTTGAGTCCCAACTGAAATCTGGCTAGACGCTCAACCCACAGCACTTGCAGACAAAACTGTATGCCTAATGAGGCTACAACCGCAAGTAACAATCCACGGATGGATGGCAGCCTGGGTTGGCCGCGATGAGGAAATCATACTTAAACAACATCACGAAGAACCAAAGGGTCAAACAAAAAGATTGTAGCAGTAGAACTTCCGTAGCTGATTGTTTTATCCATCGCTTGAAAGTTCATCATGTAAACCCTATGCAACCAGACCTCTGTATATTGACAAGCTCTGTAAGTTGTATGTTGACCAGTTGGGCTATAACAGGTAACAATAACTCGAACTCGATAACTTGACCATGTGAAAGTTTAGTGGGCAAGGATCGACGAAGGGCTCAATTGTTTAAACAATAATGTGTAATTAGGTGGATTTTGCAATATATGAAATCCATCCCCAACCATTGCAATTTACAGCCTCGCAAACGTTTGACGATAAAGCACGCTCTCTGTTTGCGTTTGTGCTAATGCAGTTTTATCCCGCCTCTCAATGTTTATACATATGGGTGTTCACCTCGTTCACTGCGTTCGCAGATCCGCGCCGTCATCTGTCCACATACATAGACACGCATTATGCCCAGGCTTTGTAACATGTGTCCACTCGCTTCACAGGTCGCAATTAGGAGTGCCAATTCAACCGTCGATTAACGAGTTCTAAGCTAAACCCTTCAGTTACGTTTGTGGTAAAAGATTGCTTTTTTCAAAACATGATTTACCTTTAAAAAAACCACACTGCATTTTGATTTACTATAAAACTGAGTGATTTAACTGCGCTTGATATCATGTGAGAGCTCAGCTACTAAATCCGAAACAGGATGTATGAAGAGAGAAAAAGTATACGCGAAAGTAAGGTACGCTACGTGTCTGTATAGGACCACTATATGTTGACCACTCTAATGCGGACCATGGAATAGTCAGCTTAAGGAGATTTTACTGTAGTAATAATGCCAACGATGATAATTCCGTGACGCAAGTAAAAGCAAGTAGTTGTGTACCGCATATATTAAGGTGAATTAACAAAGCTTATTTGGTCGGTAAGACCCGCAGTTCAAATACTAAACGCTTTGGTAAGATAATGAATGAACTAATGAATAGTCACAAAATCGTGCCCAATGTTGGTGGAACAGTTTTTCTTTGTAATAACACCAATTTACTGATCTTTTCTTACAGAAGTTATCATGGTCCAATTGGAAAATGCGTTCAAGTAAGAATGGAAAGCCATACCAATTTGACGGCCTAACGTTCAAATTGGGAGACAGCGAAACAGTTTGCTCTCGTTGGGAGCGATAACAGACTATCAGACTCCGAGGCCACAATGGAAAATAACATCAACGTAAGTAACATTCACTGTGCCACAGAAATACCTAACCATGGAGAACACATTAAAATACGAAAAAGTTGAAATGGCACATGTTAGGGATGTCGATGTTGGTTAGATTACGCCAGATTGCCATGCAGTAACAATCAGAAAGCGCATTTTGCAGGCCATCTAAATCCAACACGTTGTCGGTTCTGTGAAAGAGTTTTAGGTCGATGAAAAATGTAAGGAAATGATGAAAGATGACAGCCTGGGAGTTGTAAGTGTGGAGCACATAGTTCATCAAGTAGTTAGGATAAAAGGCAACAGCAGTACAATGGTACGGAGTAACGACACTTCGATGCCGCGCAAGCACCATCGGTCACACGTGCGTTAAGTATATTGCGGTCGCCCGATCCCCACGCAGACTCGAACCCGCGTCTTCGGATTACAAGACAGGCTTGTGATCCTCAAGGCTACGGGTCGGCTATGCCCGGAAAAGCAAGGTACGAGCATTTCAGCAGTGCGTGTTTCATCTAACTGTTGTGGAGGCCGAACCCGCAACTCGACTGTTGTAATGCAGTGGTTAAGACTACTAAGCTGGAGGAGGCGGTGAGTGCTATTAAACGTGATAGCGCCGCTCATTATCCACCGAATTGCACGTTACTGTTGTGCAAACAGTTAAACTAGCTCACCAAGCGACTAGTTTACCTGAGTTAAGCCTCCAAGTAACTTATGACATCACAAGCATTTTATGGGGATTCGAACAGTCTAGGGAGAAATTCTTCATATCCCAAAAAAGATGAAACGGCCAAACAGTGCTCTTCTAAGTGTGAGATGGATTTGGCGATGCAGAAGTGATAAGGAAGCCAAAAAAGCAAGAAATTAACAGAAAGAAAATTGGAATCAAGGGACAAGGGACAAGCAGCGTCCTGAACCTCTGGTTTGCACAGTGTATAGTATAGTCGAGCTTGAGTCAGTCATCGTCTTAGAATGGCGACAACATAGTAAGTTTTATCAAAAAACACTTGATCCGGATGAAGATGGAATCCATAAAAACAGTAGAAAAAGTAAGGAAATGGCAATAAACCTGGTGACCAAGGGACATTAATAAAAAGACACTGTGAGTCCCGTGAATTTTGACAAAATGTAGGGCAAGACAAGAAAATCCTGCATTCCATTTTCCAACCAACTTTGTGATTGAACCGAGTGTAAGTTAATGTATCTCCAGTTTTTTGGCGAATAAAAGTTCTACGGAGCGACTAACTGGCAAACCTGGAAGACGCAGAAGATAAAGCTATTCGTGGATTAAACTCTCAATCATCATTATTATTACATGCAAGCTGAGGGTATTGCAACAGAAAAAGATAATATGTAGGAAAAAGTGAAATACGAAGTAGTAGAGAATAAAAACTAAAAAGAGGAATATGATGCTGTTTCACAGTAGCTACGAAGTGCGAGATCGTCGATGGTGGGAGGTCAGCGCGGAGGAGAGGAACAAAGAACTCACAAGAAAACGCCAGTTAGATCCGCTGTTCACCAAGTCAACTAGTGTATCTAACCAAACGTGTTTAGCGTCCTTTCGACCCCAACCTGGCATTCGAGAGACACCAATCCACACTGAGTTAAAAGTGTGCGTCTTCATTTCCATTGACCCAGTTATCACTTGGCCTCTCGCCCTCGTTCAACCAGGCCGTGGAAGCATAAACAACGCACATCATGGCATTCGGTGTGCTAGTATGCGCAACACGTGGCACGGTTATCGGAGCCCAGTGTGCGATATAAGGGTGCTGAGTCGTTCACTCACTTTTCCTGCACCAAATACGCGACCCCGAACAAGCTCATTCAGATGAGGTGTTCTCATAAGAGATGACGCAGAGCGTTAAACGAATGATTCTCGTGGTATGATTATGCGTGGAATTAGTTCCTAAGCAAAATCACGTCGAGTGAGACTGTGCAATCATTTCGCAGTAAGCTGGGAAGCAACCTCGACCTGCACATCATTATGTTAGTTTGTTCGTGGGGAAGATCAGGTAACGTCTAAAGGGGAAAATACCACAAATTTGCGCAATGTAACTAGCGCTGTGTTTGCGAAATACTCAAACTACAACAGACACCTGTACTTTCGTAAAAAAAATAAAAGCATATGAAATCTATTTTAAATGTATTCATTAGCAGCCCACCAGCTACATAGCACAGTCTAGTCAAGGAACAGCACCAGACACGTTCCGCCCTATTGGCACTCGTCAGTGGTGCGCATTCTCTCGTTTCTCTACTGGGGATCGAACCCATGACCGCTGGAGGCAGATGTCAACTAGCCAGCAGCTAAAGCCACTGAGCCGTGGGGGACGTCTGCTAGGCTACATAATTTGTAAGCTAACTGGGATATAGCACGACCAATCTTCCACTTCCATGCAGGTTACTATCCTTGCAGATGACAGTGGCTAGCCACCGAAGGTCATGACTTCCTCTCACTATACGCTACGTCCATGGCATTTAAAACTGGGAGAGGCGACATCTAACTTCTCGGAAACAGACAAAAACATAAGAAGATAAATTTATATTGCCCAGGTAAAAGTATGACATTAATCGCCATATAGGATGTGTGCTAAGTACTGACGAAACTCCCCATTTGCTAAGAAATAAACGTATTATAAGTATAATTGTAGTAATAATAATAAGCCTAATTAGCAGAAACGTGGAGCTTGCGGAGCTCAATGGCATAGTGATCATGGCGACAGCCGCTAAGCACTATGCACCGAACTCCACTCCCAGCTCGGCTAGCTCTATCTGATGAGTCCAAACTAAGA